TTTATCCAGTAAAGTCAGAAATAATTAAATCTTCTATTAAAGAGATTAAAAATAAAAAAATATTTAAAATAAAATAGTCTTTTATAGCCAGGACATTAAAGGTTTGCTGAACATTTATTTTAAAAACATGAAATGATCATTAAATTGCTGGAAAAACATTTTTTAATTAAACTGAGATGAGGCTGTTGTTATCTTGGTCACTGATGTCACAGATCTGTAAACTTTGTCTGATCTCTCACCATATTTGTGTCTCCATGACAGGTTACAGATGAATAATTACTTTCCAAACACGATCTGTATAACAGTCGCAGGAAGAAAGGACACTTCAGGCAGGAATCATTTTTAAAAGGTGAGTTTTAAATGCAAAGTTCAAAGAAATAAAAAATCATGGAAAATATTGAACCCTGAAGGCACTTCACAGAAAATATAAATAAAGACAGAGATGAAGAATCAGTGGTATAAAACCACAGACCTGAGGGGGCGAAACTAAGTGGGCGCTACGAACACGAAGGACGGAAAACTGACAAAAACAGGAAATGAAAACATCAAAGGTGCAGAAAAACCAAATCACCAAAATGAGTAATGATGAAAGAGGAACTAATATATCAATGACAAGTGCGGACAAAGGAGATACAAAAACTCTAAAAAAGACAAGAAATGATTTAAAGAAAAACTACAAACATGGCCGACCATGATGATCATTAGTGTGGAAATAAAGCAGAAACGTTTTACAAGCTAACAAACAGCTTTAATCTTCATCATCATCATCACTTTTACTGCATTTACAGACGTGGAGCGTCTCTCGTTTCTGCCTCAACAGGTGGACGACCACCACAAAGACCCCCGCGACCCCAGGGGTCACAGCGCCTAAACTCCATTTGTAATCTGGGTCTTTGTTAGCGGTTCGCTCTCTGTATCGTCACTGACCGTCGTCGCTGATGATGAAGATGGAAAGCGAGGCATTTGGAAGAGTGGGTTAGGGAGAGGTTTGCTGTCTCTCGCACTCACTGGGTTCTTCATCCTGCAGGTGAAATTCGTAACACGCTGCGTTTCCTCATTATTGATGATCTCCATGTTCGTTCCTGACTGCTTCCACTCTCCGTCTCCGATCCTCCAGGAATACTCGACAGGCCCAGCAGCGCTGACGTCTCCGTCACAGCTCAGCGTGCAGCTCTTTGAGGTTGAGTTGCACAACAGCGGCGTCACACTCACCTCAGGCTGAGGCACTGCTTTAATCCTCACAGTCTGATGAACCCGACTCTGGAGCTGGTTGTTGATCTCCACTGAATACACCCCAGTGTCCGCTGCAGTCATGTTCCTGATCTCCAACACTCCCGTGTCAGTGTTCAGAGTGGCTCGGCCTTTAAACGAGATGTGATCTCTCAGCTCAATCAAGTCTTTCACCCACTCAGCCAGCAGGTATTCATCACAATACCACACGATGCTGGTGATCTGTTCAGAGACCGTCTGAGGGCTGAGCTGAAGCGTGTCGCCATCCTCAAAGTACTTCTTTACAATCTGATCCTGAGAGAAGCTGGTTGCAGCTAAGAGCAGCACAGCCAGGAGCCAGAAACCAGCCGAGATCTTCATGTTCACAGATCAGTGCAGGAGTGACAGCAAACCACGTGTCAGAGCTTTCAAACCCTTTTCCACTTCCGTACAGCCTGTGGTTTCCTTCAGCGAGCGCAGTGCGTCTCGTCGTGACATTTTTAAAAGAGAAGGCAGTCTCAGTCTTTGCTGATTCCAGGATGTTCCTCCCACAGTTTCACCAAAATGACCCAAATGCAGCGAGCAGACAAAGTAAACACAACGAAGTTTTAATTAAAGTGAATCTAAACCAAACTCCTGAACAGACAACAACAAACAAAAGAAGTAAACAAAGAGCAAAGCACAACAGGAAGTGACTAAACAGCAGAGCACAGAACCAAAGACATCGACTTAATGATGAGAGATAAGAAGACACCAGGAAGGCCGATGAAGTCTAAACACAATACTCTCTGTTAGAGAACTCCCAATAATCAGTTAGATATGTGATGACA